TATTACGATCGCTTTATACTAATAGCCGAAGTCGAGTCCGGGCTTACGGCACTTTTTCTTGTGGCTATTCCACTTACACTCTGCAAATCGGTCCTCCTCTGTTTAGATTATGCCTTATATGTGTGTGCATCAGGCTCTCCCAAGACTCATAACACAATTATCCTCATCTCTTTCTTTCTTGATGTCATGTCATTGGCACTCTTTCTCTTCTCGTTTCAGGTGTACTAGTCTACAGGAGCTCTATTTAACCGAAAATTTCCTGTCCGTGAGTTCTGTCCTATTATCCATGTATGTAATCTCTCATTCTGTCGCCGCTTGAATCACTGAATCGACGAATAAGTCAACTTGATAGTAGTTCTGAGCTACCGACTGTGAACAATAGGCTTCCGTTTCGCCTCATTTAAGTCATTGCTATGAAGTGNNNAAATTAATTTTTTTCAATAAAAAAAAATTTTCCGATTGACCATTCGTTTTGTGCGCTTTGGAAGTCTGATTTGACATATCACTTTGGCTTCTACTATTGATAGCTCATTCCATTGGTGGATGCATGAATGCCAAATGTGAAGCTAGCTTCGTGACGGATTAACAATTATCGTTCTTGGACGTGGGTTGAAGGTTAGACCACATTAGACCTGAAATTATCGGCCAATATTTTTTCGTGTTCGTTATCTACGGACATATTGATTTTCGTTTATTCCAGTCGAGCGTCCCACGTGTTTGTGTGGTTTTCATGAATGTCTAGTATGATTTACTTTGTTGACAGCCACGTCAATTTGATTTCAGTTCTAATAATTTAGACTCCACAGAGCCATATCCACTGAAAAGTAAGCAATTACCTAAGAACACCTCAATTATGGTTACTGCTATAGTTCCAGTTTTCCGATGTGTCGGATTCCTGTCTTGTGAGATTCACCAGTGATCAGCAAAGTTAATCGCCTTGGTATATGAAAACATTCATGTTTGATTGTTCGGGCTTGACCAAATAAAGACGAATCAAAATGTTTTGCATTTTTTGTCGCTTCTGTCCAGCTGCCGCTACTTTTTGATGAATAAATATTGTATTGATCGGCTAACAGCACAACGAAACGGTCATTTAGTCCCTGCATGAGCAATTAAGGTTCTTTATCATCGCCGGAACGGGGATCTTAAACATTCGGATTTAGTGTTCAAACACCGAGCAATACAGTCGATGACTTGCAGCTGTGAAGCATGGCTACTTTCATTCACCGCGTTAATATTGAATGAAACCAAGTGACCAGGCAGACCAATTTCTATATATCGCTTTATTGCTGCATGCATTTACCTCACAGATGCATTTGCACACAAATATAAATGCGTGTGAATCGTTGCGAGTACATGCATTGTCGATGAGTGAAAATACCAAACAATACACCAGCCCGGTGATCCTGGATTCAAATAAGCGTATTCAACAATAAGATGCTCGGTCTCTTTCCATTATCTCAGAAAAAAATTTCTGAAGGCCTCTATGGTCGTTTGGCTTAACTGTTAGTATGAGATAGGCACTCGCTTTATAATCCAATCCGCACATGATTGTTATAGGCTTCCTTTAGCCCATGCAATGATCGTAAACATTGTTGTATGCAACGATCGTATTAGCTGAAACACGGTGGCATATGTTTGAGGTTAATCTATATCTTGCTGCATTTGTCCCTCATGTAGCTGTAACTTCATAGGTGGCATTGCTGTATTTTTTCCTCTAACCGAAAAGATGTTCGTTACGAAGCCCAAGGTGTTCCCGGTGTGTTAAACCAGTTTCCACTTGTTTTCCTTTCTCCCTTGTCACAGACACTTCCTTCCACGATAGGTGCATTGGAGTCGATGTTCTTGCTGAACGTAGACCAAAACCAGCTGACAGAATTACCATCGCAGGCGAGTTTGAATTTTGTAGATTGACACCTTTTCAGTCAAGCAGTTAACACTCATTATCAGGCGTAATAAATGTTTTTTGACCCACTCATTTCAGCGACTGAGGCCACTCCCATAGTAATTGGGCAACAACATGTCAGCGTCGTCGATCCACCGGTTCCAATCCTCCGACTGCCCAAAGATGTCAAACTAATCTTATGCATTGCTGGAGCCAGTCTGTTCTAGCAGTGTATTGGAGTGTATAGGAAGTTAGTACAGTGGATCTTAAGAACCCCGATATGCACGTGGAGTGCGAGACGCTGGGTTCACCGTTTTTGTGAAAGAAATTGAGATGCCAATGAGCAACGCGGCTGTGTCCATGACGTTGAGAAATTTAAGACTTCATGAACAAAATAATAAGTTTAGTTTCTAGGTTGTACAATCAGACTGTGTCAAGCAAATCACAATACAATAATCTTTATAAAGGACGTTTCATGATTTGCTAGTGGGCGCGATACTACCAGGTTGCCCAGGCTAAGGCAAGACGTCTTTTTATCAGCAGAGTTTTATATCAGGCTGCGACCTCCGAAGCTTCAGTACACCCTTTTAGGACAAACAAAGCACATGTTGGGCAAAATGATGTTAGGAATGTATCGAAAAATCGATGCGCCATGTTCACAATAAAGCACATGCTGCTTACTAGTTTGTTTATTAACCTCAGCAACTGGGTCATGGGTGATTGGATGTTGTCTTGTGAGACTGCTTCCGTTTTTCTTCCCTCTCAGACTCGCGAGGTTTGGAATATTTCTCTCCTGACTTAAGGGTATGAAAACCCTAGCCAGGAGACTCGGTCAGATAGGTCGCGTTAGGCTACCCGGATGGGAACCGCAGGCTCAGTTTAATCGATGGTTAAGGACACTGGGTCATATGGCTCAGTGTCGTACACAGTGACGCTCGCGTGCATCTACTTGAATTCTCGCAACCCTATTTGAATTCACTATTTTCACGTTGATATTGCTTTTAGCATTACGTCGGGGGTAGGGATGATTTGTTTTCATTCGTATGTTCAAAATGCTCGCATTCTACCTGGGAGGTCCCAGATTTTATCCTCAATCGGGTCGATCAATTCACACCGCCGATCAGACTCAGGATGGCCTTCAAAGTGGTGTCGCGCTTTTAAACTTTTCAGTCCACATTTTGTTTGTTCTGTATGCTATTAAACTCACTGTGCGATCTAACGCAATTATCCTTTTCTTTTCAAATGTTACTCCCGTTCTCATAATAATTTTTCAAAGCTTTATTTTTCCTGTCGATTTTTACGTCAATCGCAGTGAAGATGCTCCTTTTTCGAAGAATATTATTTCATGTATGTTCTATCATTTTCAGATAATAATAATTGCCTCGTGTTTATATTGCTTTAAATTCCACTGTTTTTGCTTTTCACCGTGGCTCCCTTACTTGATTTCAGATCGGCCAATGCACATCGCTTAATATTCTTTCTTTGCGGGAGAATTTGCTCCACCGATTACCCTATGAAATTGGAAATTGCAACCGATTGCGTGTTCTCGATGTATCAGGAAACAGGTATTGGATATGGTCACATCGCAGCAATTTTTTGCATTGTCTGCACATCATGAAATTCGGCTAAACTCCTAGGGATCTGTGAAACAGTGCTTGTACTCAGCCCGCTGTTGAGTACTATTGCTTGAAGATTCTACGTGATTAAATACTTCTATTCTCCACGTCCCTTTACCATATACTTTCTTATCCCTGTCATTTGTTTTGCATTTTGCCTTCTCATCTATTCTTGGTACACTGATTACTTTGCCACAGTTTTCTTTTCACGCCTAGCTTTTATCAATTTCCCACTTTCTTAAACCATCAAAGCAGCACCAGCCGACAAATGCTAAATTACTGATACTATACTCCAAGACAATATCTACTGTCACAGAGCGCTGGCGCTTTAGGCGTACGTTTTCGCGACCGGTTACATGGGCCCAGCCCCGTGAAATCTCGCTGGGAGAATCTATGGGGTCATTCGTAGTTGCAACAGGTTTTTGCTTATATTCAAAGAAGCTATGCATTTTTAAAACCACAGTTAATAATCTTTCAAAGAGACCTTTCATTTTCGGGATTTCATTCACTCTCCACAAGGAAATAACTATGCTCAACCAAATATCCGAATTTATTCATAATCTCCACCTACGAAGCCTTTTCCACTCTGCATACCAAAGTCATCGCTTCATTTTAAAATGTTATTTCGCAGGCTGGAGCGCCTTCCACTAAGCTTGGCACGCTGTCCACTTACTGCTCTCTGGCTATCCCAAAATCAATCTCAACCGGTGGTTACACTCCAGCGCGATGTGGATGAGGTAACCAACGAAGAATTCCTCACCTGCTATCTGTTGCCCCAAGATCAGTTGGAATCTCAGGCTGAGTTGGGTAAGATTAGCCACACTTTCCATTTCGACAGATATCCTCACAATCTGAATCGTTCGTTTCTAAAATTAGATGTGGCCCCAGTTTTGTTACCGCACACTATAATTCTGTGAAGGAAGTGTGTACGCGCAATACATAGTCAGGACCGCTTTAATTTCAAGATCTGCTTTCTTGTATGTGTAATCCACAACACGCAACCTCGGTCGGAATAGTTGTATTACGTAGTCCGGCGATGGAGTCACTATCTACTACCCAAACAGCTTGTCAATGGTAGGTGGGTTCCGAACTTCGAATCTTTTAGATCGATAAGATAGGAACCAAGAATTCACCACTGGTAAGGATTGCGTTAAAACCATGCAGAAAACTTGTAGAATACAATACTCGTTGTCTCTAAACACTTCCTCCATAGTAATTAACTTGAGTTTTACTGATCATTTGAAACTTAATAACCATTGGTTTTTTCTGGATACTTGTCCTTATGCGTGTGCGTTTTGTGATGTAATCAGGATCAGATGTTTCGTTTCCCCATGTTTGTTGACTCTCCCACTTGCATTAATGAACTTTTGTCACCATCTATTCCTATCAGTTGTGCATTTACACTTACCTACTTGGGTAGTCAGTCATAGGTTACAAGTTTCTTTTTTTAACCTAACAGCCTTGCCTTGTTCGTAATGGCCATTGAATAATTATAAACTTCTGGTGACCTGTGTTGATCAATTAATTAACGTGGTCCCCAAGCAGTATCATCAACCTTGTGGCTGTAAAGCAACTGTGATCTCTAAACTACCGTGGAGATCTATTATCAACCGTCAGTTGATAATCAACTGGCTTGTGACCTGGACGACTTACAAGTCTGCGAAGCATACTAATCGGACTACTATTTCTACCTGGGTCCAGGTTGAACAGTAATGGACTTGAGAACTAACTGGAAAACGATGGAAACACAACTCGGGAGAATTAGGGGAAGTAAAACCAACCTTGCGCGCCAGGACGGTGTGAATGGTTCTCTAGAGAATGAAGTTGGAAATTCGAATAACAAACCGGTAACGTTTTACTTGCTGATAGGGTTGTCGGATTTTAGGTACTAACAACAAAATAAAAAAAGATGTCGCTTGTCACAGTGAGAACAAAGTCCGGTGAGTGAAACAGACTGTCGTACTGACTGTTTGATGAATTATCAAAAAATAGCTCATTTAGCATACCGGATTTTGTTTTAGACAATTGATCGTTTCTGTTACCCCCGCAAATTGTGATCTCTTCTGTACGTACCGATGATAACGTACTTCGCTAGTGCTCCGAATGTGTTTATGGTATGTGCATAAATCATGGAACTTTGTGTTCGGTACGCATACTCCGCATCCTGTCTCGAATATCGTTTTGTCCAAGCGCATTGGTATAGCGATTATTCATAACCTTATCCAGTACTCATGCGTGTGCTTGTTGTCGAAAGTCATATCGATAAATCGTATTTACATGCCACATTGGATTCATACACTTCGTTTTACCGACATCGAGAGAAAGAAAATGGATTTGATTCTCTCTGAGCAAATGAATGTTGCTCTATGGAAAGATCGAATTATTTTTCCGGAATTCGACACATCTTGTTCCCTGTTATCCGCGTGGCATCGTCTGAATTCTATCAGTTATCTGTCATCGGTCCTGAAATCGAAGGGCAATTGTGCGTGGGATGGGTTTTGTTTACGAATCTAGTTAGAATCGAGACCCTTAGTCCTTTCGATGTTAATCCGCACATGTATTCGACAAGACGGGAACATTTTATGGCTCGTCACGATCCACCATTTCTCATACCACCCAGTACATCTAACCATCGTTTCGGTTGGGGACTTTGTGACTAACCCAATCAATCGATAGATACAATGGATAAATATCTAAAATTCTCAAACGGTAGAGCTGCTGCCTCTGCTCAGTCTCTACTCACATCTACTTTACATGCATTATATTTTTTGTCCTGATAGTTCTCTCACCGACTGACTCCACTATTTGTTCTTTCTTCATTGATCGACCACATGTGTAGCCGAAAGAGCTCTACCAAAAGCGGAGCACAAAAGTCGGCGGTTAATAGCTAAGAGAATGCAACGGAAAACCGCCTTCGTTTTTTTAATATTTCTGCCGTTCCTTTAAGCCTTTTTTGCTTAACTTAGGTACTTACCAGTCCGATTTGTTCTTACACAAATTCCGACCAACTTGATTATTTTTGATTGCAGAACGGGTGTTCTCAGGTCTCATTTTATGTCCGCCTAAAGGTTGCTCACAGCTCAACTGTTACGCGTTTTTTCGTCCTTTTGCTTATTTATTAACTGTCAGATCCCACTATGTCACCATCCGAACTAGCCAGTCTGACTGGGGGTCCTACTACTGTCGGGCCAATGAATCTGAACGATCCAGATGCGATTGCCGTAGAAACGAACTATGCTTACGAGCCGGCTATGCCAGACACTCAACCCCAACCACATCCCGCCATTTCCAATTGGCCAGCTATAACGGAAGCAAAATGTGCGCGACCAGAAAGTGTTACCTCTTCCACACCGAGCAGTATGATTCTTTCCCCACCCGTTAGTCCAAATGGAATGCACTCGTCTACCGGTGACCGTGTAGGTTCACCCGCTGGTCAACAACGCAGTTCGTTCTCCCCTCGGTCTTCGTTAACCAATCCGGCAGGAGAGTGGGACTCCGGCTCATCTCGCGTTCACTTTAACACGACAGCAAAACAGGACGAGTCAGTAAGTAGTATGACCACGTCTGTACTTCTGTGAGCTTTATAGTAGTTGATTTCGTTTGTCTCGTCAGTGGTAGATAACTTTGGTGATTGGATTAAATTATTAAATAAGTATTTTAACTTCCTACGCATACTGTAGTCTTAGAAGCTGTAATGCATGTGGCCTATGAATGTGATTGGGAAGCTTTATCCTCCTGTCTCCAGCGTTGACACATTTTATTCCCACATCCTATGCTTTTCGACATAAATTTTTCAAGATTTAACGCTCTACCAAAATACGATAGCAGAACATGAGTAACGGTCATTGAAGTCCTCCGCATCGGTTCAATCCAACTTGTGATGCTGATATCAAAGCAAAGTTTATGGGGTATTCGGCATGACCACTTTCGTGTTTTGGTCTGTCGCTGATCAAACAAATGATGTTCTGTCTATCTCAGACTGTTTTGTTTCTTTTTATTCATGACTGTATAGTCGTTTTATTGAGGAAAATTTATTTGAAAACTATTTTTGTCTTGTTAGTTTTTTCATTTCATTCTTTTACTTCCTTTTATTAAATCCAATATTGTGTGAACGATTCTCACGAAGGGAGGGCAGGCAATACAAGAATTCCAGTGTGATATTAGAACAGGTATAAAGAGATGATAGAAGTTAGTTTTCAGTGGTAAAATCTGAATAAACGACTTCCGGATCGACATTCAGACTTATTACGCAGACTATACCCATTTCGCGATATTCAGATCTGCGGAAAGCAAGCCGGATTTTATGCATACCGTGATTGCATAGATCATATCTTCAACCTTGGTCACCCGGCTTTGGGTCTAGGTGTCATCTCTAGCCTTTGCACATCCAAGTGCTAATTACAAGGCAGAAAGAAGGTAGCGCATGGTTGCCGGTGGCCCTCTGAGCTCATACACCAGTTTCTGGTTGAACAGGGGTCCATGCATCCCTAATGAGTACGGAGTTATTGCCTTGACCGTTGAGTCGTGAAAGCGACTTCATCCGCTTGAACACCGCCACACATACATAATGTTATACTTTTGAGCATCAGAGCGACCTTTGACTCCATCTGTCTCCTTGCTCTGTGGAACTGTTTCCGGAAATACGGTGTACCCGAGAAGTATATCCTGCTTTTAAGAGCACTCTACCACCAGACCTCGGGGTACGTTAGGACCTATGGTGAACTTACCCTCATTTCCTGTCACCAGTGGAGTACGACAGAGTTCCCCTATTTCTCCGTTTCCCTTCAACCTTGCCATAGGTGATGTTCTACAAGAGCGTTGCTTAACGTAACGAACGCTGGTGCCGAGCTTCTTCCTGGAGTTAGAGTCGCAGACTTATAGTATACCGATGATAGTGTCTTACTCAGTGACAACGCGCCGGTGATTCATAACTCGCTGAATCGTTTGGCAGTTGAGGTTACACATTATGGCATATCCTTTGCACCTTCAAGATGCAAGGTGCTGCTGCAAGATTTGCAGGAACATGTTCGATGTGTTGGTGAGGTGATCTCTCAACACGTGATCATAGCTAGATTAGACTTTACTAGTCGGCGGCATATCTGGCGCCGGCGTGAAATATCCGTTTCACAGAAAGGACGTGTGTCGCGCAACGTTAGGCGAGGCATTGCTCTACGGCTGCAAAACCTGGCCTCCGAGCAGATCATGTCCATCGACTATCCGTCTTCGACAACCTTTGTCTGCGCAGCATCGCCCGCGTACGTTGGGAGAATCGCGCGAATAACAATGATGTCTGACTACCTGTGCTAGGGTCAGACAGTCATGCTCTGAGCAAAATAATTTCATGTGAGTAATGGAAGATTTGATTCAATTTCAAAGTGGAAATTCGCCGTGCATATGGCAAATGAAACGTGGACTGAAAAGTTAGGAAGCACTGAACAGCTGCTCGGTGGCAGAGTGGGTAGCATGCTTACATTCCGCCCATGAGGTTTCGGGTTCGATCCCCATTCGGGTCGATGGATTCGCACTGCTGATGAGACCCAACCAGGTCCAAACAATTTTATTGCATCATTTTAGGTGTCTGGGGCACGTCCTACGAATGCCTGAATAATGTGTGCCATACCGTGCGCTATTTGCAGATATTAGACCAGAATGAATGAAACAGTTAGGTGGGAAAGCTATGACGTGCGGTAGATGGTTAAAAGACTGATCTCGGATTTGACTTCAATGGAGGCTTCTCGGTTCCCCGACTGGGGCCCCGTAGGCTCAGATTTTCATAAGCTGGGGACACTGATGCCTGTGGTAGTGTTTTAAGTTCTATATTATTCAACAGAGCATGATTCTCTTTGACGAGCCGGTGCTTTTCGTGGTTGCAGTTGACCTCTCACTGATAATACTCGTAGGTCAGTGTCAAATTTCTATCATGTGAATTACTTACAAACTCATGCTCCTTTTGTCCCCATGGGATATTTGCACAGTTGATTCGTTTGTCGGTAAAGATGATCATAAGTCACAGATTTCCGGATGGGAGATTGCACATAATATAGTCCTAAACAAATTTGTGTTTTTTGGTTGTGTGAGTGAGATGTGCCAAGGCTTCTTCAATTCTCCGTTTGAAAGATTCAACAGTTGGCGCACTGACGATGTGAGATGGAAAGGCGTCCCAAGTACTGCACACTCTGACTGCAAAAGATTGACACCGGCATTCCGGTCGAGGCTGAAATCAGTACCTTGAAACGAGGTCCCCTAAGGTTCATGTTGCATGACAACGTGTGAAGCGGCCGACATGGATGGTTGGGGTTCTGCAGTATTTGATGCACTGAAATCAAGTCTCCACAAATTCGGCGCTACTGCGCAGAATAATATATAATATATAATCGTAATCTCTCTTCATAGGTGAGGTAATGCAACCCCTTGACGATCTTGGTGGCAATCCTTTGTGGACACTCCAGCATCTTGCGATCACGTTGCGACCATAGACTACAAGCTTGGATGGCGGATTCTATGTACGGTCGAATGTACACTGATAGCTAACGTGGGAACAGTGCTGATTCAAACCGACTAAAGGGTCGCNAAAGCCGATATTCTTCACAGCAGCGGACGAACCCCTGCCGTAATTGATCGAGCAGCCTAAATCTTTTTAAACACTTAAAGCTAAGTCCTTCTCACTTGAAGTATGTAGTAACTGTTGATTCCCGAGAAAATACGGGAGTCTCCTCCTGTGGCGTAGGGATAAGATTTGGCATTTATAAACATTGAATTCAATGTCCTTTTCCGTAGGCTATTGATGTGCAACAGTGAGTGTTTCTTGAATTGATGGCGAGCCCTCGGGTTCTGCTACTGTACTCCAGATTTTGGCGTCGTCTGCAAACAGTATTTTTTGGCGTTATCGTATTCGGTAGATCTAAACTGTATTCAAACTATCCTAAATTTCATGTGAGTAATGAAGGATTTGATTAAATTTCAAATGGGAATTCTTTGTGTATATGGCAAATGAAGCGTAGACTGAAAAGCTAGGGAACACTGGACCACTGTTTCGACCTATGCTTTGAATCTCTTGCACTCACTCAATGCTAATTTATCTTTGTACAATGCATCTTTTCCATTGTCTTTCCCTGTTTTCAGAAAGAAAAGTCTTCGATCAAGGGCTTCCCCAAAACACGTCACCCCCGATTTGCCAAGAAACCCACAGATTACCAACCGAACAGTCGAGATGATAGCTCTTATTCACAATCGGTATGCCAACTGAAGATTCTTCATCATGCCTGTCTAAAGGAGTGGGAAGCTATTCACCATCTGGGTTGTTTTGTTCACATTACGGTCGTTTTCTGCAGAACTTACTTTTATTATTGCCATTATGAAATCCACTTCAGTGAGAGTTCATGCTTCACAGGGTTTTTTTGTTCGCTTCAATCGCGAACTAAATGCGAACAGATTTGAACTCAGCTGGTTCTAACGCTATCAGCTGAAAAAAGTTCGACGACTGGTTTAAATACTTAAAGCGTCATATGCAAGTGATCCTCATTCCATCATATCAATGTCCTCATAGTGCGACGACAAGCCCTAACCCGTCAAAAATGCACTCGGTGCGCATCGTGTGTCCGCTACCGATAGTTCCTTTTGAATTGTGTGGAAACTGATGATCCTTCTGATTATTGAACATGTTTCCACAATTCACGGGTAATTTAATTGCATCAAAGACGTTTCACCGTTGTACTTTAACACATAAACCGAATTGCCTTGTCCACTTGGTTTCTGGGATGGTCACCAATCACGTGAGCACCAACGCTTTCTTGCAACCAGTAAGGGTCTTTTACTTCAATTTCATTTCCTTCGAATTCTCATTCTGGTCATACTGTGTCCTTATTTTTTGCTCCAAGTCATGTTTATTTTCTTATTGGTTTTCCTAGTGAGAGTAATAAGCATTGTACACCTCATTGTTGGGTCACAGAGTGTAGACAGTTCTTAAATTGGGTTTGAGGAATATCGGAATCTTTTGTGATTCACAACATTGGGCAGAACATTTGAAAGAAACACTACAGTTGAACCCGTCGACACAAGACTTACCCCTACTTGCTTCAACTACGCAAATACTATGACTTGACATCAGTCCTCCATCTGAAACGGAGGATACCGGGGAAATGAGTTATCTCAAAGGCCATAAGGATTCCGACCCCGACGGGCTGTCCCGATCGGTTTTTAGGGATGGAGGTTCGGCATTGGCTTGGGAGCTAACGAAATTCATGGGTTCAGTATGAGATTCGGAAGAGAATCCAACTGAATGGTGTGAATCCGTGATCATAACGATTTACAAGAAAGATGACAGATCCTTCAGTGAAAACCACACAGGAATTACTTCAGTCATCATTGCTTGTAAAGTTCTCGCCGGTATTGTACTCCGTCGATTGTCTGCCGCACGTGAACGGTGTACGCGTGAGAACCAGGCTGACTTTAGACCTGATCGAGGATGTACCGAACACATCTTCACTCTTCGTCAAATTCTATGACACAGGCACCCACCACTTCTATCTTCCTCGTGCGAGGTTGGTGCCATCGATTTACTCCAAGGTGGCACATTGTCTGGTCTACAGTATGCAGACGAAATTGTGCTACTAAGCGGAAATACAGGTGAGTTACAAGCTTTTGTGGATAGTTTGAGTGCTAGTGTGTCCATGTTC